GACTCGGTGGCTTGTAAATGTGATCTCATCAAATTAGGTAATTTAAGGAAGATTATTTTTTAATCATCACCATTATCATTAAATTTTCTTTAGTAGTTGTGTTTTTATTATTGCTCTGGTAGTCTGTGCAGCTGTTGGGCCCAGGAATTCCAAAGAGGAACTCTAAAGAAAAGAAAAAGGAGCTCTGAAAGATGTGAAAACCTCCCTGAGCCAAGGGAACGAAGCTATTTGCTGGGCTCCCCAGATAACAAGAAGGCACACTCATCATCGTTGTCATCACCATTTGGTGGTGCCACCTCCCAGACTTTACAACTCCCATAGCCAAATGGGAGAGCTGACAATAGCTACTATCTCTCTGCAAGCCATCAGTATAAAGCTCCTTTCTGGAGTGAACAGAGACATAAATTTGGCGTGTTGTTTTTTTTTTTAATTTGGTGATTTTACTGAGAAAATAAAAGACATTCCTGCTCCATCCCAGCCCCCGAACACATACCTGCTATGCCTATGTGCATATAGATATACTTTGTGCATGGAAGAAAAAAGGGAAGAACAAGTGTATTCTAGATTAATCTGAAATTCACTACAGATGGTTTGGCTAATTCAGTTAAAATCAAATTCTTTTCTTTACCTATCCTGTCACCTTCGCACATGGGAATTGGTTTTTGGAGTTAAATTCCTTTATAAAGTTCCTATCGTATGATGGGGTAATTTCCTGAGAGTGGGTGATAATGCTGGATCTGTGGTTTTTCAAACAAGTGGAGGAACTTAGAGTAAGGATCCAAAGATTGCTAATTAGGTTGGCCTGTGGTCTACAATCCCAGAAGGGATTGAGGTCCTCAGGACTGGCTACCCCTCAGGGTAGTGGTTTTTGAAGTGTATTGCTTCTGTAGAACCATAACTTCAATTTCTATTTTTAAAAACTTTGAAGCCATTTAAAAGATGTAATAAAAACACACATGTTTAAACATGCTAGGCACCAAATTTAACAAGTTGGGGACCACCTGGATTAGAGTTTGAAGTAAACCTTTTGCTGTTTCTGTTTAACAGAAGACTGTTTCAAGGTCACAAGGTGAGATGTTCAAACCTTTTTACAATGACTTCTCTGTGTGAATTAGACCTTTTTCGGCCCAAGACCTTTTTTGGCCCTACGCAACCAAAACAAAAGATGGAAACAAACTGGTTGCGAAGGCTGATATTAGGATGGGAACTGTTAGTCTCTAATGTTTGATTTCGAGTTTTTATAATATTAATTTATAACTTTTAATGTCTCACATAATGGGCTCCCCCTTAAGAATTCAACTGAAGAAATGGTACACTCCTAAACAAAACAAAACATGAAAACCATTGCTTCAGACTTTGTTGCAGCATTTCTGGTGCTGAAAGTGTTCTCAGAATAAATCCAGAGTCCAGCTCTCACAGTGGCCAGTTGTGGATTTTGCCCTTCAGTAATTTTTTTGGTTAGAGAATTACCCCCCCCCCCCCATGTTAAGGACAGATTTTGTGTGACTGTCTATCAAGATGGGCCACGCTTCCCTGGGTACCACTTCAGGGCAGTCAGATCCCCACTCGTGGGAACCTGAATTATGAGTGGTCCCATGCAAGAACTGAAGTGATTGGAGGTGACATCCCATAACTTTGCCCTGAAAACACTGTCTATCGGTTTCTTTGACCTGGCTCCTTCAGGGTGCTATCCTTTCTAAGGCTTGTTGTTTGGCTTTTTCTTTGATTCTTTGAAGAATCCAGATCTCTCCAGTAGAGTACTGCCCCACTTTGTTTCTTAGGCTAGCTAGAATCAGTTCTGTAGTTTGCAACCAAAACATTCTGACTGACGTCAAATTTTGCAAATGGGAAAATGGTAGTAGCATCAAGAGGTCAGTGACTTGTTCAAGCCCACGTTGTTAGAACTTTGGGCACAAGTGTAACGCCATGCTCTCCAGGAAGAAATGATCCTAAATCAATATTCACAACAGGAGAACAAACACATCTAGGACAGAACTCACCTTTGTACCGTGCATATGAGAGAGAGACAGGAAGAGAAATGTGAATAATGGCTGGGAAATAGGGGGCGTGTATCCCAGACCTTCACAACTTTGAATTCTGGTCACTCAGGCAGGGTTTTGCAGAGATCCAGAACCATTCTCTCTGGACCCTAAGGCTTGAGGAGGAATTTCTGAAAAGGTGGAAGAATCTTAGGATCTCAACTGAAGGGGAACTTGGGCAGATAAATACCTAACCAGGGATCTGAGCCAACAGAAGTAAAACTGAGGGTCTGTGGGAACAGACCACATATGCTGACAATAGTAGTGGTAGTGTTAGTCGCTCAGTCATGTCCGACTCTTTGCGACCCCATGGACTGTGGCTTGCCAGGCTCCTCTGTCCATGGGATTCTCCAGGCAAGAATACTGGAGTGGATTGCCATTCCCTTCTCCAGTGCTAACAGTGGTTCTGACTTTTAACAAGGGCTGGTGGTCATGGTCCACTAAACCATAAGCTCTGTAAGAAGAGGACTGGACTTGTTCACCACAATATTCACAACACCTGGCACAAGGCCTCGTGCTTGGTAGGTGCTCAATACACATTTGCTGAAGGACAGAATGGGTTGGGCTTCCATGTGGTCGTCTGGACCCAGCAGCCTAGTGGTTTCGTCACTAATGGACTGGGTCTTTGGCTTTGCATCTCTGGCCTCTGGGGGGAGAATGGTGCCTGGCTGGTGAGCAATGTCTGGAAAACACCGGAGCAGTGGCTGTAATATGTTCCCAATATTCTAATTACTGATGATATTAATCAGTAGCAGTTGTGATACAGGGAACAGAAGGTTCTGTGGGCTTGCAGCCTAAATGACAGAACACAAAGAGCTTCTCTCCCTCTCTCTCTATGTTGCTTGCTTTAAGGTATAAGAAGCAAAACTATTTCAGATTTACAATAAGAACAGCAAGAGTGATGATCTCCCATTTTATAGATAAGTGAATAGAAGCCCAGAGAAATGCAGACTTTTCCCAATGTGCAGAATCGTGTCCCCAGCCTAGCCTGGAGCACCCATCATTTTTCTGCATGTGTGTTCTCTGCCCGGGTAGTTCCAGCTCTGTCCGGTCTCGGGTCTGATGTTTGCGTCCTTCATTCCACGCTGGTTGTGTCACTGTGGGCACAATGTGGGTCTCCAGTGGAGAAAGTTCCTTGGAAAGGAGTTTTGAGACACTTGAAAGATGAAAGATTGTGAGTAGACAAGTGGGTCGGGGTGGGGGGTGCCCCCACCTGTGCTGGCCCTTGAGCCCCACTGTCCTCACCTCCAAGGACAGAGATAAAAGGTGGTTATTGGGGCTCAGGAAACTGCTTCACATTGTTCAGTCACATAACCTCTCTCTAGACTCTCTTTCTTGTGTACAACAGGCCTTGTTATTATTTTTTTTTAAATTATCTTCTTGTATCACCACTGTTTGCAGTTTCTTCTTTCTTGTTTATGGTAATTCCTTTGGGAAAAGCTCTAGTTCTGGGGAACATTGACAGCTGAAATCTCAGCTTGCCTACCTTTTCTACTGGCAGGGATGCCCTCAGCCAAGCAGGGCAAGTAGGTGCTATCACTGAGAGCCCTTGCCTCTCAAAATGCTAGGAGTTTTCATGTGACTGCCCCCACCCTGGCTGGTCCTTTTTCACAGACCCTGTTAACACCTTTACTGCCTCTCTCCCCAAAACAACACCTCCCAGGGACCTTCCAAAGATAAGATGCTTCATCTCAGTTTTCCACAGACTCAGAATCTCTAAGGATGAGGCTATAGGTGACAGTTTGGGACACCTGAAGAGACAGGCCCCTGACAACCCAGAACAAAAATTGCTGCCTAGTCACCATGCCAGGCTCACTGCCTCCTTCCTAGTTGACAGAGCTGGGGTAAGGAGTGAGGAAAAGTTCAGGCTTTCAGAATTAAAAATGGCTGGGTTGGAGTTCTTTTAGCCTGGGAGTGGGAGAAACACACCTTCTTTTTCTTGGGAACTTGAATTATGAATGGTCCCATGCAAGAACTGAAGTGTCTGGAGGTAACTTAGCCCTGAAAATACTGTCCATTGGTTTCTTTGACCTGGCTCCTTTCATATCCTTTCTGAGGCTTTTCACATGGCTTATCCTTTGATTCTTTGAGGTCCCCAGAACTCTCTAGTAGACTGGCCCCCTATCTAACCCCCGCCTTTATTTGTTTCTGAGGCTAACCTTTTTGGTGGAGCCTCCTAAGGCTGTAGGAACCTCAGGCCAGAGCCTTCTGGCCTTTGGACCCACAGCAATGTCCAGTTACAATCAGCCACCCCAGCTTGTATTCGCAGACCCAGACCCCTCAGGGCATATAGCACAGTAAGACTGGGTATGGAGTTGTAGTCATTTTGTTTTTGTGGAGGTGAGGGGAGCTCCTTAGAAGGGGGGTAGGGTGAAAGACTGAATGAGTGCTCAGTCGTGTCTGACTCTGTGACCCCCATGGACTATCGCCTGCCAGGCCCCTTTGTATACCAGACGAGAATACTGGAGCGGGTTGCCATTTCCTACTCCTACTCCAGGGAAGCATCTTCCCTACCAGGGACCATCAAATCGATGTCTCTTGTGTCTCCTGCATTGACAGGCGAGTTCTTTACCACAGCGCCGCCTGGGAGGCCCAGCAGTTCCTTAACGGTTGCATTCTGCCTCCCTAGTTTTGGAGGCAGCTTCGGGTGTCTGGAAGTCCCTGGCAGGCTACAGTCCATGGGACTGCAGAGACGGACACGACTGAGCGTCTTCACTTTCTTTTTGCCTCCCTGGTTTTGGAGGCAGCTTCGGGTGTCCCCAGGGTTAAAGGTAGGGGGCAGCACCGTCTCTGGCGGCCAGATCCAGAAAAGCGCTTACCAGGAGTGCAGCCTCAGGGCTAGGTAACCGTTTCCCCAGCCCCGGGAGAGAGCAGGTGCGCAGCTCGAGTAACTTCTGCGGTGCAGGGGACTCAGCGAAGGGAAAAGGATAGTTCGGGTTCCTTAAAGAAACAGCCACACACTTTCGAAAAGACTACATGTATTTGGATTTTAGCCCAGCCCTAGCCTAGACTTCCTGAAGCCCCGCCCCAATGCCAATATCCCCGCCCACTCCGTTCTCTGAAGCCCCTCCTACCAGAGCTCTCCCGCCCCAGAAACGCCCCAGGGTCCCTGGAGCCCCGCCTTTGGAAGCCCGCCCTGAGGCGCGCTCAGCAGGTGGGGTTGAGCACGCGGCAGGAGCAGACACTGCGGAAGAAGCGGCACTGGCAGAAGGCGCACGGGTCGCAGCAGGCGGGCGCTGGAGGCTTGCAGCTGTCGCGGGTGGCCACGCAGGGGGTAGGCGGCGGGGGCCGGGGCCGTGCCACGTTCTTCATGGGAGCCTTTCTCTGCGGGGAAACGCCGGGGCTGCCCGAGCCATCCACGTCCTCCCCACTTGTCCTCACCCCTGCCTGGGAACTCCTCGGACTAGACGTCCCCACCTGCTGTCCACCGCCCGCTCGACTCATGTCCACAGAGCACCCTAGCGGGTACCCGCCTGATTCGCCAACAACACTTAACTGGCTCGGGCCTGGCCTCTTCTCTCCCCACGGGATCCCATTCAGCTGCACGGTTTTTAACTACCATCTTTGTTGTCTTCCCCTTCCAGTGTATCCGCAATCCCTGTTGGTTCTGCCTTCACGGTAGGTCCGGAGTCTAGCCACTTCTTCACTACGGCTGAAACCCTGGGCTTGGCCACTGTCTGCTGCCCTTGACCCCTTACTGTCCAATCTCCAGCGCACAAGGAACTAAGCATCCTCCTTCCCCTCACTTGGATCCCTGAGGCCCTCTGTGGTTTGGCCCGCCTACCACTCCCACTGGTGTTAAACACACTGCCCCACCTGCCCGCCCTCTGTGCACCGAACACAGCAAATGAGTTCCTGTTGCAGGCGCTTTGTTTTGGGGCTTCCTTTCCTGGGGACATTCTTTGCTATGCTGTTCAGTGCAGGCAGCCACCCACCATATGTGGCTGCTGAGTACTTTAAATGTGTCTAGTGCAACTGAGGAACCGGGTTTTCAATTTTTATTTAATTAAAATTTAAAGCTGAAGTAAAATGTTTCTCATTAAAGACAACTACATTGTTTTGTTAGGACTGTATTTCACTAGTGTTAAAAACTGGGCATCGGAATTGAGAGTGTAAAAGTCAAAGACAGCGCAAAACAAGTAAAATATCAATAACTTTTTATGTTGGTTACATATTAAAATAATACTTGGGATCTACTGGGGTAAATAAAATATTAATTGCACCTGGTTTTTTTTTTTCCTTTAAAAAATCTGGCTACTAAAAAAAAATCTGGCTACTAGAATTTTAATTGATATGTGTCTCACATTGCATTTCCATTGAACACTGCAGCTCAAGAATACGGAGTTTCTCAGTCTTTTAAGTGATGCCTCCTTCTGGAGTACTTCCCCTGACCACTTTTCCCTTCCCGCTGTCTCACTCCCTGCTTTCATTCCTTCACAGTGTTTATCATTATCTGAACAGCACTGGTTAACGTGCTGTTCTCCTGTTTCTCCCAGAAGAGTGTAAACTCCATGAGAACAGTTATGTATCTCTCTTGTTCACTACTATATTTCCAGAATCTAGCATGTAAATAGATGTTACAGTTCTGTCAATCATCTGATCTGCTTGTTCACTTTACAGAAGGCTCAAAGAGAACAGGGAACTTTCTTGTGATCACAGTGCCACGTCATACTTTCCAATGCCTAGTACAGTATTCCCGGCTCTGTTCACAATGATCTGATCAAATGAGGCACACTAAAATAGGAACACTGTGTATTTCAACAGTGCCTTAATCTAGCATTTCTCAAAGTGTGGGAACCTGTATCATGGTGGTACAATTTTACGCAGTACATGAATATTAAATGACACTGAATCACACAGTGAGAGAGGATTCTTTTTTCAATCTCTTTCAAATGGAAAGGCTCACAACACTTTCTAATCCTTCTTTGTTAATACAGAGAGCAAGTCTCAGATTTAGAACTTTTGGCAAGCAACACCAACCAGCTAGAATTTGCTAACAAGGTTTTATTTTCACTTTACTTATTTTCATGGTTACTTCCAATTTATGCCAAGTGATACTGCTTTTCTATCATGATTATATAGTTTTTTTTTTAATTCATTTTTGTTTTTGGCTGTCCTGAATCTTTGTTGCTTCGAGGGCTATTCTCTGGTTGTGGTTAGTGGGGACTACTCTCAAGTTGCAGTGTTTGGGCCTCTCATTGCAGTGGATTTTCTTGCTGCCTTGTATGGGCTCTAGGGTGCACAGGCTTCAGTAGTTGCAGCTCCCCAGCTCTAGGGTATAAGCTCAATAGTAGTGGCGCATGGGCCAGGTTGCTCTGAGGCATGTGGGGCTCTTTCTGACCCAAGGATCCAACCCACGTCTTCTGCATTGGCAGGCGGATTCTTTACCACAGAGCCACCAGGGAAGTCCTGTTACATAGTATTTTTGTTTTTAAGTTTTAAACAAATATTAAATAAGTGGAACTCAGATATGGTAAAAGTTGTAGAAATGGTTCTGAAATGACTGAGGTTTGGGAAACATCGCATTCATCAAAAGAATGAATGACAGTGAAATTTCAGGCAGGGTTTGAGCTAGTTTAGGAAGTTTGAGCTAGTTATTTTAGGCAGGGTTCAAGCTAGTTTAGTTTAGGTACGCAATTTTACTCAGCATCCTGGACCTCAGCTCTTGGTGGTCTGCTTCAGGGCTCGAGCTCAGGAAGGTTTTGGTAGCTTTCAGTTTCTCTGGGGCATGCAACCCTGGAAAATCTTTCATTTACTTCCTAGCCAGAGTTTGGGTGTCTTCCCCCTTTAAGTCCAGTCCCATCCTGACAATGTGAACTCCCAGGCCTACCTTGGAAGGTCTTTTCTTCTTTTCCGCTTCATTTCTGCTGATCTTTTTGGATTTCTTGTTCAGTGCTTCAAAGAGAGACAGAAGGAACAAGGCCATTTTCTGAGGGTCCTTAACTGCAGTGAAGTGGGAGGAGCAGAGAGGGCTCTAGGAAGCCCCAGGGTTGGGGAGAGGATGAAGGTTTGGTTGGATAGATCACATCTTGGGACTTAGGCCAGCAGCTGCTGCAGCCTGGCTGCAGACCTGGAGCCAGAGACAGAGAGCAAAGAGTCCTCTGAAGGAAAGCGAAAGGGAAAATCCAAGAAGGCCCTGGAAAATGGACTCAGTGTCTTGTACAAGGATGGTTTTGTGTTTCCGGTATTCCTATTTCCTATTTCCTATTTCTCAGAGCTTTGGAGCCAGGCAGACCTGATTTGAATCCTGACTCTGCTACATAACAGCTTTGTGGTCTTGGACAACCTACTTAATCTCCTTAAGACTCAGTTTTCTCATATGTAAGTAGGTACTGTAATACCTACCTTGAAGAGTTGTGAGGATAAATGAGGTATGTTTATATAGTGGAAAATCTAACACAGATCAATGTTAATGTGCTCCAGTCCCTTCCCATATATCTAGAATATCCTCTTTTTGAAGTGAGAGGCAAGTCAGTAAGGAATATTAGTTTTGAGCTTAGATTCTGGAGTTAAACAGAACCTAACCCAGAACCTGGGTATGTATTCAGTTCAGTCAGTTCAGTTCAGTCACTCAGTCGTGTCTTAATCTTTGCGACCTATGCACTGTCTCTGCCAGTTACAAACTGTATGTTAGTTACTTAACTTTTCTAACTTTTAATTTACTTAGCTGTGAAATAGGAATAAAAATAGTATTCACTTCAGAGTGCCTATCAGAAAATAAGTATATATGTTATTATAATTATTGTCAGATAAATTCGAACCAGAAATTCTCTAATGCTAGGCTCTAATACCCCTGATATTTTCCTCTGAGCAGTCATTTTCAATTCTCAACCCTGGCATGAAAGAACTAGTTCATCCCAGACTTGGTTATATTCTGAAGAATTTTCTAAAAATTTTACCATTGATAGGAGTTATGTGATTCAGTTTCAGATACACCAAGTTAAACCAAATTCACCAAGTGTCTTGACTTTAGGGTTTCTCAGAGCCTCTAACATGCTAAGCTGCATATTAGATTGGTGAGAGGCACAGCTTTCTTAACCAAATGAGTTAAGGGGCACTTGATTCCTCCAGAATTGTTCTGAGGAATGAGCACAAAGGAGCTCTGACCGATGGCAATGGATCCTGATAGCGGCTTGGGGATTGTTTGACCCCCTTCAGCCCTTTCTCATGGGCCAGAGCCCAGAGTCTGGGCCCCAGGCCAGCCAGTGGGTAAGACTACTTACCCACAATAGAGACAGAAGGGAAATCCAACAGGTTCATGGAAGAGTTGTTCTTCAGGTTCCTTTCATCTCTGGGCTTTTCCTCAGGTGCCAGGTGGCTGTAGGCAGTGAGGAAGCACAGGCAGGCCAGCAAGGTAACCAGGAGGAGGCGGCTGACGTCCATCCCAGGAGGCCTGAGAGGGACAGAGAAGGCAGTCAGGTGGGCCGGGGTTTCTGGCAAATGCGTGTGCCCTCCTGCTTTCTTTATGTTTCTTTGGGCTGGTGCTCTGACTCCCAGCCCACAGCCCAGTGTCCCAGTGGAGCTGGAGGACCAGCAAGACTTAGGACAGGGAAGGAGAACTCATGAAGGAAAAGGGAGGAAAGGAGAGAGGGGAGAGGAAGAAAGACAAGGAAGGGAGGGAGATTGCAAAGAGAAAAAGAATGCATTGCAGTTGGTCTCTGCCTTCCAGAGGGTGGGGTGCTCTTTTTGTTTCATTTTATAAGTCGGTGGCTCCAGGAGACCCAAGGCCTAAGCAGAATTGTTGATAGGTCCCCAGTAATGCCTCACAGTGGCAGAGGTCTTACTAAAGTACAGAGAACAAGGCTCATGAGTTAAGACTCAAGAGAAGGTGCATGGATAAACGGCTCCTTTGGACAAATGTGTATGTCATTGCATATGCTATATTCTGACATCCAGAGGAAATGAATGCAGGTATGTTTTGTGTCAGAAGGATAGGATGGACCCATTCACATAGGCTAGCTAGATTTATTGATTTATTGCTAGCTTGAGTTTTGATGAAAAAGACAGATCCCAGAGTGGATTTCTTCCCACAAATGTCTTTTTGGCTCAACCAGGGCTCAAAGTTTCAGCATCATCTTATCGTCTCTGAGTGTGGGATCCCCACTCCTCACCTACCCTGTGGAAGTTCTTGCTATCGTATCTGGACTTATTAGTTAGGTGGCGCTAGAGGTGAAAAACCCGCCTGCCAATGTAGGAGATGTAAGAGACTTGGGCTGGGAAGATCCCCTGGAGGAGGAGGGCATGGCAACCCACTCCAGTATTCTTGCCTGAAGAATCCCATGGAAAGGGGAGCCTAGAGAGCTCCAGTCCATAGGGTTTCAAACAGTCAGACATGACTGAAGTGACTTAGAACACACTCGAGCCAATATATTCCCTTTATTTTCTTAAGCTTTTTTTTTTATGTGAACTATTTTAAAACCCTTTATTTGTAATAATATTGCTTCTGTTTTATGCTTTGGTTTTGGGATGGGGAGCATGTAAGATCTTAGCTCAAACTCACACCCCTGCATTGGAACGGGGCGGGGGGTCTTAACCACTGGACCACCAGGGAAGCCCCCCCCTTTATTGTTTTAAACTAGTATGAGTGGAGTTTTCTGTTACTCTCAACTCAGGGCATTCTAAAGGATACTTTCCCTTGTAAATAGTCTTGTTGTTACATTTTCAGGTGTAAAGTTAGATTCTAAAGCAAAAATCGCAAAGTACAAAGTTTCTCCAGCTAGCAAATGATGGAATTTGTTTTTAAAATTTCACGCTGGAATAAGTAATTGGCTTGCCTTTAGGGATCATATTGTATGAAAAAAAATCTTTTTCTTTGAACACCAGGATCACCATCAGCATAATGAAAGGTTTATACTATGAGAGGTGTATAGGAACTGAGACCAACTGAGGGAAAAGCATATCTGCAGCTCCCAATTCTGGAGTGGCTGTCTCCTTATTGCAGAGCAGGGGCTCTCTGGATAGGAGGTTGATCAGAATCGCATGCATATTTATTTATTTTTAAAATGTAGTTATTTTGGCTGTGCTGGGTTTTCTTTGCTGCACACAGGCTTTCTCTAGTTGTGTGAGCAGGGGCTTCTCTTCGATGTGGTGCACAGGCTTCTCATTGCAGTGGCTTCTCGTTGCAGAGCCCAGGCTCTAGGCATGTGGGCTCAGTAGTGGTGCACAGGCTTAGTGGCTCCATGGCATATGGAATCTGCCTGGACCAGGAATCAAACCCATGTCCCCTGCACTGGCAGGTGGATTCTTATCCACTGTGCCAGCAGGGAAAGCCTCACATCATCTCGCCTGCATATTTAAATTGCTTCTCTCCCCTCTCTCACTCACTCACTAAGTATATATGGTTGAGTTTGCATAAGTTAACTGCGAGCATGATCTGGCTTCACTATGTTTTCTATCTTTGTCGAATCACCACCCTCCACAGTCAAGAATGTTGGTTTTAATTTTTGACTCTTTCTTTCTTGATCTTTACATCCGATCTCTTACCAAATTTTACTTTATGCTCTCTTTAAATTATCTCATATTTTCCACTTCCTCTTCACTCCAGCCCATACCTTCTTCTCAGTGGAACTACTTACACTACTCCTCTATCAGGAGGCCTTTGCTCTGGCTTCAACAACATTATCTACTCTGAGCTCCCCCAATCACATTTCTCCTTCCTCCAGGACCCAGTTCAATGCCAGCTTTGGCACATTTCTCTCAGTTTCAGGTCAGCCCCAACGGTTCTCTCCCTTTTCTGGACTCTTCCAGGTCTTAAATTCAATACCATTAGTATTTCATTGTTCTTCAAGTGTTCATGTGGGTCATCTCATCAGTTAGACTTGGTTCTTTGTTTCAAGAGCCTCACGGTCGCCTCCCGGCTGCTGTAGTTCTGCTGTCATACCCACCTATTCCAGTTTGCCTCTCTGCCTGTTTTAGATGCCACTTGAATTCTAAATTCGTGGCCAACCAAAAGGTTCTTCTAGCCCAGTTCAGTCTAACGAGAGCCATCAGGGTTGCCTGGGATGGCTAGTTGGTTAGGACTGAGGAAAGCTACATTTGAACGATTTCTTCCATTCCTCCTTCCTTCTCAAATCCTGAGCCATCTCTTCCTCGTAGGACTCCCTTCTCTCTCTGATGCTGCTGCTGGGCTCTTAGCTTGGAGAGTAGTTTCCTTCTCTCTTGTTCCCCACATCCAATCAATCAGTCATTTGAGTTCTAGTGATTTTCATTCCTCCCATTTCTCACAACCATTTCTCCCTCCCTTTCCATTCCTTCTGTCCCGAGTGGTCTAGTTCCTCCCACTGGGTCTTCCATAAGCGCCTCCTCATTAGCCTTGACTCTAGAACATATATCCAGATTAAGCTTCCTTATAAATAAAGCCCCATTTCCTTTCATTCATTCATTCATAGATACATATTCATTCATCTTGTTGATAGGGACAGAGTAAAGGGACAAAAAGCTTCCCTAGTAGCTCAGCTGATAAAGAATCTGCCTACAATGCCGGAGACCCCAGTTTGATTCCTGGGTTGGGAAGATCCACTAGAGAAGGGATAGACCACCTACTCCAGTACTCTTGGGGTTCCCTGGTGGCTCAGCTGGTAAAGAATCCACCTGCAATGCAGGAGACCTGGGTTTGATCCCTGGATTGGGAAGATCCCCTGGAGAAGGAAATGTCTACCTACTCCAGTATTCTGACCTGGAGAATTCCAAGCACTGTATGGTCCATGGGGTCGCAAAGAGTCAGACACGACTGAGCAACTTTCACAAAGGGACAAAACGGGTCATTAAATAGTTAATTCCACTAGGGGATTGTAAGTAGAAAAAATAGGGGAGACCACTGTATTACTCAGATTTTAAAAATCAGGTTTGCTTAACCACAAAACCAACCAGGCTTGCTTAGCAACAAAACCATTGTATGAGACATGCCCACAAACACTTAAACAATGGTGGCATGAGACATCTTGTCCAGTGAGCTCAATAAGTTAATGATTCCCTAGGACATGCTCTCTGCGCACATGAAAAACAATAATTTGTGGACCTAGCTTGGCCATGTAGGAACAAGAAAATTCTCTTGTTCAACCTAGAGGAGGAGTTGACAATGGAAGGATGATGTCTATTCAAGAAAAGGAAATTTCTTCTCCGTCTCCCTACTTTTACTTTGATTATAAAACTGCAGCCCAGTAAATTCTTGGGGTATGGCACCCTGTCACCCCCTGGTTTATAAGCCTCATAAGCATCCTATTCAAATAAATGATTTCTTAATCTGCCACTTTGCCTCTTCCTGAATTCTTTCTGCACTGAAACATAAAGGACTGTGGTACCAGAGCTCTTCGGAACCCCCCAGAATGATACCAAATGCTTTCATAGTGAAAATTATTAGTTAAGTACCTACTATAAACCAGTGCTATGCTAGATTTTTGGGTTACAATAGTGATCAAGATACAAAATGATGCCTGTCCTTGCAGAGCTTAGATTCTATCAGGGATGGCTGACCAGTTAAATAAGTTATTCTAATAAAGCTTTTGCCACAGGAAACCTCAACTAGTGCATAGACTTAGGGAAGATCTCAGAGCAAATTGCACTGAAGCTGAGAACATAGGGCTGATTTGGATTTATGTGTGCTGGAGAAGAGAGTGAAAGTGGTGCTGGCAGTGTTGCAGACACTGAGAATCATGTACAAGCATGAAGGTCTAAAGGCAAGAGAGGATGGTGCATTTCAGGAACTAGAAAAGATCAGTAAATAAATAAATATAACAGGAGATGGAGGCAGGGCCCAGATCATGACAGGACTTCTAAACCATGATAAGGAGTTTGGACAGTATCTTCAAGACAATGGAAAATGAATGAAGACTTTTGAATAGGAGGAGAGACTTAATCAGATTTGCATTGTAGAAAGATTTCTCCAGGAGCTGGTGATGGACAGGGAGGCCTGGCGTGCTGTGGTTCATGGGGTCACAAAGAGTCAGACATGACTGAGCGACTGAACTGAACTGAACTGAAGATTCTTCTGACTGGGGTGTGGAGATGGAAGGGACAGGACTGAGAGGAGGAAAACCAATTAAGAGGCTGCTGCTGGATTCCAGGCAATGTCATTCCTCTAGAGGGGTTACCCTCATTACCAAAGGAAATACATACTACATAGCCTCAGAGAAGGACCAGAGTCCTCCCCAAGCTACCTTCCACATTCCTTCCCAGTTTTATCTTTTCTTATAGGAAGTATATACCCTAGCCAGGCTTAGCTACCTCCTGGTCCCCATACAAAGCTCCACCTTTACCATTTCTTACGCCTGACCACTTCTGACCTAAGAACAGTACTTAGCTTGTTACACAAGCATTTATTTACTTATCACTGAAGCTGAATCTGTGGCCTTTAGTGACTGCAGTATTCATTTACTCTTTCCATATTTTGT